GGCGGTGAGTGAGTCCCATTATATTTTTAATAACATCTTATAAGATTTTAGAACAGTGGTCTAAACATTAAGATTTTATCCCTGCTCCAGTGGGACTTTTGGTTGATTTTTTTCACTGGATATTCTTTTTAAAGCTTCTCTTTGGGTACATCAGTGCAATTCACAGAGAGCAGCCGGCGACACCCATGGCTCTGTCAACTCACACATGAGGCCAAGGCTATTATCTGTAATATTAGGGAGCCCATTGTGAAATTGCTGTTACTATGCCAGTCATATGGCTCCAACGGCAATTTCCTGCATCCGTGCTAATGTCAGGTTTCAGTGACATTTATTGAAGCACTTAGTGGGAAAAACCCAACCCAGAGAAGATGGACGGCCAGCATCCTTGTGTTTTCAGATTCCAACAGATTCAGGAAAGGAAATGGATATGTGCCTGAAGATGGATGTAGCTCAGCTGGTAGAATATTCGTCTAACATGTGCAAAGCTCTGGGTTCAGTCCTAGCACCACAGACGACTGGGCATAGTGGCACCTGCCTGTGGACCCAGTCCCAGCACCACAGACGACTGGGCATAGTGGCACCTGCCCGTGGCCCCAGTCCCAGCACCACAGACGACTGGGCATAGTGGCACCTGCCTGTGGCCCCAGTCCTTAGGAGGTAGAAACAGAAGGACCAGAAGTTCAAGATCTTTTCTGCTGCTTATTGAGTTTCAAGGCCACCCTGGGCTGTAGCTCAGATTCTAAAAAGGAAAAACCACATTCAGTGATGATCAGAAATGTCATGGATGAGCTGTTTTCTGGATCTGACTCTCGAGGCACGTACGTGTATGTGTGTGTGCTCTTAACTCACACCCAAGAGCCAACCTGAGAGGATGCACAGAAGCCTGGATCCCAAACATCACCAAGTCACGTTCTAGAGTGGCTAGCATATGCGTGTACCAGCTACAGCTGAAAAGATTCTGTCCTCCCTCACCTCCCTTTCCAGTCTCCATGACTATACAAAGACAGACGCAGGGCAGTGTTCTCAATCTTCCTAATGCTGCGACCCTTTACTACAGTTCCTCGTGTTGTGACCCCCAACCGTAAAATTATTTCATTGCTGCTTTATAACTGTTATGAATCTTAATGCAGGCTATCTGATATGTGACCCCTGTGAAAGGCTCATTCGACCCCCAACGAGATTGCTACTCACAGGTTGAATGCCGCTGGCCTAAGGGATTTTGTAATGCCTAGGACCTAGGGGCCACACACTGGCCATTGCTTACTGATGTGCCCTGACACTGCCAACAGTTTACTACAGCCCCCCGTGGCCCCTCCAGTATGCCTGTGCCACCTGCATTGTGGGTTCCTACACCCCCCATAGCCCCTCCAGTATGCCCTGGGCCACTTGTAGCTGTGGGTTTTGGAGTACTGATAGAATGCCAAGCAAGAAGACCCTGTGGTCACCATTTCCTCCCCATCGAGGGTCACCTCGCTGTTCTCATTGTTCTTCCTGCCTTGAGGATGCCTTCACAGCCTCCTCAGAGAACTCTGGCTTGAAAGGTAAACATCCCTGAGGCTACAGACAGCAAATGGCCAGGCTACTTTGGGGAAATAAATAGGGAGAGCAGATCCACATTATTAAATACACTGTATGTGACTGTATGGTTTTATCATGGAAGTTACCAATGAATGGATGTCACAATCCTAACAGAAAAGGACTAAGAGCTCAGTATGGTAGCCTCTAGCCACCAATGGCTATTTACATTAAGCTGATTAAAATTTCATACAATTAATATGAGCATTAATTGTATTCTCCACACTCTGGGAACTGAAGCAGGAGGATCGTGGACTAGTATAGGCTATAGAGTGAGAGTCTCTCTCTCTCTCTCTCTCTCTCTCTCTCTCACACACACACACACACACACACACACACACACATGCACACACATACACAATTCATACAACTGGAAAATGATGTGGGATGCCCTTCTATATATGTCTTGATTATATTGGTTGATGAATAAAGCTGTTTTGGCCAATATACCAGAGGAAAGCCGGATGGGAAATCTGAACAGAGATAGAGAGAGTGGGTGAAGTTGAGGTTATGCCATGTAGCTGCTGAAGGAGAAAGATGCCAGAACATTAGCAGTAAGCCACCTCATGGTGATACATAGATTAATAGAAATGGGTTAATTTAGATATAAGAGCTAACTAGGAATATACCTGAGCCATTGGCCAAACAGTATTAAGTATCTGTGTGATTATTCAGGTCCCGGGTGGGGGGAGGGCAGGAAACAAAAGCACAGTCTCCATTTATAGAAAAATTAGCTTTCTTAGCCAGACCGTAGTTCACATGTGACCAGTGACCACTGTGTGGGACCGTGTAGGTGGAGAACATGAACTGGTCCATCCTAAATCATATCTGACCTGAGGCATAGTTGAAGATTCATCTTTACTCTCTCACCCAGCTTGACCCTGGCCAAGGCACAGCGAATATTCTATTAGAAGGTAAAATGGCACGGGGGAAATGGTGACACTAGCAGGTCACATGACTTGACACATGCAGGGAAGCCTAGGGTGGAGCCTAGCCTGACCTCTGTGGACCCAAGTGTTCCTGAACACTTGGACAATTTCCTGGGTCCATGAATCTGTGATTCTCTACACAGAGACTGTGGGTCTGCTCCTTATGAAGTATAGTTTTGTTATAGCTTTATTTCCCTTGTGTGGGAAGAGGCATGACTGGCTTGCCCTGTCCACTGGGTTGTGCACTTTTAATAACTGACTGGAGTCAGGCTGTCCTGAGGACTCAGTAAGTCAGCTGAAAAAATTCTGATAGGAGCCACAGAGCACCACAAGACAGCCACACTGTCACTGGCAAATGTCTTAGTTTCTTTACCTATGAGATATGTGCAGATGGATGAGACAGAAAACACTCCTGTAGGCCCCTGCACACAGGTGGCTTTGAGATTTATTCCTCTGGTTCTTCTTGCCCCCATACCCTCAGAAGATGGTACCTACCTTTCTATTAATGTCAGCCTTCAAGTTTTTAATGGTACACATGCTGCCCCCTCCATATTTGTGGTTGATTTTGAGAATCACTATAGGTAGCTCATGTAGAAGGCAGATCAGTCAGGTGATGTTTCTCTGAGGTTGGCTAGTTTCAGGGGACCCAGTGGCCTGTGTAGGCACTGATTTCTCTTTCCCTAGCATGCTCTGTCCTAGCAGCCAGTTCAGTCAGCAGAGCAGCTCTGAAAAGCCACACACATAATCCTGGACACCCTAGCCCTCGAGGAGGGTGGTCTCTATCAGAGAGGACATCACAGAAGGACTTCGATACACATGAAAGCAGTTGCCTTGCCTATAACATTCTTGAAGTCCTCATTTGGATGACTTGTGCCTCCTTGTTACATTTTTTTGGTTTGTTTGGTTTGGCTTGGTTTTTCAAGACAGGGTTTCTCTGTAGCTTTGGATCCTGTCCTGGCACAAGCTCTGTAGACCAGGCTGGGCTCAAACTCAGAGATCTGCCTGTCTCTGCCTCCCGAGTGCTGGGATTAAATGTGTGTGCTACTACCACCCAGCTCCTTGTTTTGAGTCTTGCAATGCTATATTCCCAAACATGGAAGGCAAGCTTGATGTTGGGAATTACATACATGGGTCAGGTCTTGGAGAAGTATTTATAATGTTTATGGGTGGGAGGGAGGAAGAGAGGGAGGGAAGGAGGGAAGGAGGGAGGGAGGGGGGAAGGACAGACATATAGGAAGGGAGGGGACCCTATAAACTGAGAACTTGTTTGCCTTTGTCCTATGTGACTTTGATGTCATTTTTGAGTGTGGTGAACCATCTCCTCAAGAAAATGGCTTTAAGGATGCAATGTGCCTAGGTACCACCAGCCTAGGTCTGCTGGCTGACTTTGAAGACCGCCCCAGGCCATCCTTGGCAGGCCCACAGATCAAAGCAGTGACTCAGCTGAGCTGGAGGTGTTAGCTTTCCTGTGTTGGAAGTGGAATTCTTTCCCTTCTCTTCTGCTCATCACTCCCCAGCTCTTTCTGTCTTCCTGGGTTACCATCAGCCTTTCCATATGGCTTTCTCTTGCTGATTCTCAGAAGTCTCCATCCGGGTCCCATGGTGAGTCATTCTGCCAGTATAAAGTGGCCTTCACCCTCAAGCACTGGATCAGACAGAAGCTGGAAGGCAGGGCCAGACATGGCTGCAGTCTAGAGCCCTGGGGTGTCACAGAAAGCTCTGGATCCCCTGCTCCGTCCTGTACTGACTAGCACAGGATGCTGGACGACTGTCATAGGTAGTCAGAATGACACTAGGTGACTCTGGAGGGGCTCATCCTTTGACACAGTGAGTAATTCTACCTGGATGTAGTCACAGCAACCCTATCTCGCATCTCCGGGGTGGTGTTAAGTGTCAGGAAGAACATTCTATAAAGACTCACTCCCCACAACATGCTGTCTTGGTGGCCTTGACAAGCCTCAATTTCGTCCTCTGTAAAATGGATTAATGGTAATATCATCCCCAAACACATGATGGTAAAAGGCCATGCTGTTGGAAGGCTCATTGTTATTACTGGGACACGCACTGCTATGGAGTTTGGTCTTAGTACTGTGGCACTGATCCTTTCGTTGCTAGCAAGGACCTAGTAGCTGGATTTATCGCAGCTGATAAAGAGTGGCAAGGAGAGGTGATCTTAGTAACTTCAAAAAGAAGCCAGGGTCCCAAGAGACCCACTGTTCACCAACCAGGAAAGCCTGTGTGTCTCAAAACACAGGCCATGTTGAGGATGTTGGTAATCAAGGGCTTCCGAGCCCCTTCCTCCTCACGTGTTCTGTTCATTGGATTTCATATACACTGCAGGCGGTATGCGAGAGTGACCCCCCCCCCAGCACACTGAAGCCCCCAGAGAAAGGCAGCAAAACCGTCATTTCACAGGGTGACTGTGCTGTTTTATGCAGTAAGTGTCACATTTTGGAAAACACACACAAGCATTTCTTCTTGGCTTGTCCTTCCTAGGGACCTGAAGTTGGATGGAGGGAGGCAGTCAGCAGGGGCCATGAGCCTGAAGGAGATCATTGGCCTTGATGGTGTGGAACTGGGTGCTGATGGGAAGGTAAGGTTTCCAGTATCCGACACAAGACCCAGGATGCAACACAGAGCTAGGATGTAAGACTTACTTGCAAGGTTACACCACATCACTGCAATTCTGCCAGTGTGCGGACAGAAACCGCTAGTCAGTAACTCAGCAGAGGCCCGGCAGGAGGTCCCGAAGTATATGCATTTCTCTGCTAACACTTTTTATAGATGATTGTGCAATACTCACACACAAGCACACATCCACATTCCAGGGTGGGGTGATGGTTCGCCTCTCTATAAACTGGAGGTGCTGGTGAGCAGTAGTCCAACCACTAGTGAGGTTTTCTCTTCTCCTGATCCGGGAAGCCCAGCCCGGTGGCCACTAAACCGTGGTCAGTTTGCTGTCCCACTAAACAGGTACATTCCTCTTTCACCCACAGTACTGGGAGCTATTATACGCTGACCTCTGGTACTGGGTAATAGGTTGTCTCTGTACAACCTCCAAAAGCCGGCACCCCTGTGTCCAAGACACAGTCGCTAGTCCAGGCTTTATGTGGGTTGCGTGCTCGTCCTCATCCTAAAGGGTGAATGTTCACCGAGGAAGGAGGAAGGTGGAAGGTTAGGGTCGAGCAGAGGGTCACAGCCAGATCTTTCAGGGACACATGAGAGGAGCCAGAAGTCCTTATCAGAGACTCCTGAGGCCTGGTGTATTCTGAATCCTCTCCTGGATTTAAGATACCTTGTACGTGGCATAACATTCCAGCACATTCTGAGATGGTACCTTATTGTCTAGCATGTGAACATTTTGGCCACCCACCAGGATAGACAGACCGGATGGGGCCAGTTAAACTACACAGTTCAGAATCTGTTCAGGTGAGGCTTGGGTATGAAAGTGGCACCAATTTGGCAAAAATGAATATCAAACAAGTTGCCTTTTTCTTCCTTTCTTTTGTTTTGTTTTGTTTTTGAGACAGGGTCTCTCTATGTAGACCAGGCTGCCTTCAAACCTAGAGATCTGTCTGCCTTTACTTCAAGGGTGCTAGGATTAAAGATGGGCCCACCAGGCTGGGCTACCAGTTGCATTTTTCCAATCCCATTAGATTCCAGAATTGCGTGTTTTTTTAAAAGCAAACCTGATCTTAGAGTAGCAACGGAGCAGAAGACAAGCCGGCCACCCCAGGCATAAGCACTGCTCTTTGTTCTTTCCTCTCAGACAGTGTCCTATACCCAGTTCCTATTACCCACAAATGCCTTCGGAACCCGGAGAAATACCATAGACTCCACCTCCTCCTTCTCCCAGTTCCGGAACCTGAGTCACCGCAGCCTCTCCATAGGCCGGGCCAGCAGCACCCAGGGGAGCCTTGACACAGGTAACGTTAGCTCAGAGGGTCTGGTGACTCATGGCAGGAGGTGCCTCAGTTTACAGTACAAATGGGACAAGGTCCATGGGTGAGGTGAGGCGGGCAGGCACCAGGTGTGAGCACAGGTCACACATACCCAGAAGACCTTTCTCTTAATTAGCTGCTCTGTTACCAGCCCCCAGGGCCAACCCATGTGGGAGAAGCCCAAGCCCAAGCTCTCTCCCAGCCCCCAGTCCTTAGGCTTTTGTATTCTATTGTGTGTTCTGCCTTCTGCATTTCCCACATAACTGGATCCTGACATGCGGGGCTGGGTGCACGTTTCCGTTGCTCACAGTTGTGAACGGGGATAACTTCTGAGCCGCACATTCCACGTTCCCGTTGCTCACGGTTATGACCGGGGTTAACTTTTGAGCCGCACATTCCACGTTTCCGTTGCTCACAGTTATGACCGGGGATAACTTTTGAGCCTCACATTCCATGTTTGCCCATACACAACTACAAGGATGGAAACTCTTAGCAAAATTCCAGCTGAGGGTCTAGGAAATGGCTGGCAAAGTACCAGCCACAGAAACATGAGCGCCTGAGTTCAGATCCGTGGCAGCCACGTAAAAGACCAGCACTAAGGAGACAGACAGGCAGACCCACAAGTGTTGCTGGTAACTGGCCTGGCAGTATTGGTGAACTCCAGGTTCAGTGAAAGACCCTACCTCAAAGATGGTAGAAAAGTGATTGCGAGAAACATTATATCAACCTCTGGTCTCTACACACACACTTGAATACCTACACACAGACTTACAAACTCATGCGTACACTTACACACACTAACCCTAACCCACACATGAAATTCCCTAGGTCAGTCTGCCCCTGTCCCAATTCCCCATCACCTGCAAAGGTCATTTGTGTCAGTGTTTTCTAGTGGCTGTCACGGCTGGTCATGGCCCCGAAGGTCACTGTTTACCCAGGTCATGGCCCTGAATGTCACAGATGAGTTTAGCAATTCTCTCTGAGGCTGGTCTAGGACCATGTGCTGTGACCTACAAGAGCATAGGGCACATGCTGTGTCAAGTTTTGTGTTCTTCTGGGTCAGGGAAATGACCACATAATTTACTAACATAGCAAAACATCAGAATGGTAAGAACTGGCCAGTCTTTTTGTAAACATGTGGATGTACCTCATTGCCAAGCAGAGACGGTCCCTAGACATCAGCCATTGGAGTGACTCTGGGACAAATGACCCTGAGGCCGCCTGTCTTCAATAACTGTTCTCAGCATTTTCCCAGCAACCTCAGCTGGAGTCTGGGGCCCCTAATTGCCATTTTGCTTGTGCCCTTCAGGAAGTGACCTGGGAGACTTTTTGGACTATGACCCAAATCTCCTGGATGACCCGCAGTGGCCTTGTGGCAAGCACAAACGCGTCCTGACTTTCCCTTCGTACATGGTGAGTGGTACCTGCTGACGGGTTGGCGGGTCTGTTAGTGCTCACAGCATCCTGCAGAGGCCTCGGGGAGGTCTCTGGACTTTGCACCTGGGATATTCTATTGAGTTCTCTAATCAGAGTTGCAGGATTCTGGTTAACTGGCCTAGGAATGCCACTTAGAGAGAGGCTGAGGAGGTTGGGTCCAGTGGACATGAAAGCTACCTCCTAGCTTTAGAGGCCTTCGCTTCTGAGAAGGGCATGCCAGAATACACACCCCGGACTCCACCAGGGAAGGGCCTGACCTTTTCACGGGAGCACCAAGTTCAAGCTGAGCTGAGTCTGAATCACCTCAGTGACTGTAAGTCTCCACAACACCCCAAACCCTGTGTGAGTAGGACACAGGTGTTACAAGCAACACTGTTCTTGCTGTGTGTATTCCATGACTTCCTGGTTTCCCGTGTGTAATTTTGATGACACATTCTGGCTGACTACCTTCCCTACCATGGCGGACTCTGGTAGAGCTGTCCTAATTGCTGGAAGCAGGAAAGAGTCTACTATGCAGAGAAATGGACTGACCAGGCCTGTCAATCACAGCATCAGCAGAGGGAACATCTGCCCAGATGCCCTGCCTCTCCGTGCCTTCTGCATCCCATGGGCACTTCCTCCCCTGGCTCACTCTAACTCCTTATCTTAGAAGCCCTACCATCAGCATTGAGCCCAAGGAGTCTCACCGAGGTCTTTTGTGTCTATAGAGGCCAAGGAGCAAAGCGACTCCAAGTCCTCAAAGGTTGCCTGCATTTGTGCTTAGAGTTTAGAACCCCTGGTCAGCACTGGGCCTTTGCCGGTTACTATCAGTGTTTGTAGTCAGAGCCTTGCTGTGCCATATTGGGTAGAATGCACTTCCAAAGTAATTTAATTTAAAATGATTGCTGTCCTCACTTTTAACTACTTACCCCTCAGACCCCTCAGCTCCTAGCATGGTTGTGTTTATGTAGGGATTGTTGGGTTTTAATGTTCGCAGGTTTGTTTGTTTGTTTCTCTTTCATGCCCTGTTCATTCAAGGAACACAGCAAGACTCATTCACCTCGGTGATCAAAGTGACAATCCAGTGACAAAATCCTGTGTCTTGTTCTGAAGGAGCCACCGAGAAGTTGCTGTCTGCATGAGGACATGCGTTTTCAGTGTGGCCCACTTTGTCCATGGTTGATCACTTGATTAACTAATTTGGGCAGGAAACTTGCTCAGAACCCCAGGGAGACCCTTTGCTATTGGCAGGAAGTGGGGAGCTGAGCCTCTGGCTCCTGAGTCGGGCTCTGCTCACTGATTTTCCCTGCTTCTTTCCGAATGGGCTGTCTCCGTGCAGTCAACAGTGGGAGCTAAGGGCAGGGTATGAGGCCATTCTCTGCCGAGAAGATTAACCGATGTCTAGAGGTTTGAGAGAGTATGAAGGTGTACTGCTTGTGGCTGATGTTGGGGTCCTGCAGGGGACTCCCCGATGGAGATGTTGTCTTGTGGCAGCACTGACTTCCCTTTGACAAGAATGGCAGGTTCCAGATACCATATACCTCCTTATTTTATCGTGAGCTTTGGAGTTCTGGCCCCAGTCTTTGCAGACACAGACGACACAGCTGATTTGCCCCCATGGACATTTGGATGACTTTCCAAGTGAGAGTATGCGTGCAGCCCTCCTCATCCTGTTCCCAAGTGGGTCGGTTTTCATGTCTTGGACACTGGGCTTCCAGGAAGAGTCTGTGTTTTACAGAATGCGATCATTCTTTGGCTGCATTTCCTAGTCCAGGCCACGAGGCTTCTCCACCTATTCTGGCCCCAGACAGTGGTACTTTTGATAAAAGACAGGACATCCATTTTTTTTTGTCTTATCAGTTAAATTGTTGACAATGTGTGACAAATAGCATCAGGCCAGCTTCTGCAACTCAGAGGAGCCTACAGGGGATTTAGATTGATCACCTAGGAACTAGAGTGCAGGATTCTTTGTTTTCACAGGTTTGCCTGACTTTTGTATGCTGTGGAGCAAATCTGGAATTTGCTCATTCAGCAAATGTAGTTGCCACCCTACAATGTGCTTCCTTGTTTACTGGAGAACTAACCATCCATAGTCCCCTCTCATCGGCCTTAGAATGAGAGGGAAAGCCCCGAGGCAAGCGAGGAAGCAAATGACAGTGGTCGTGAGGAGGGTGTGGAAGATGCCGGCCTGGAAGAGTGACAGGAGTTGATGAGGGGCATCAGAGATGGGTTCCCTGTGGAAGGCAAGGGTGTGTGCAGAGTGGAGTTGAGACCATAGAGTGACGAGCCTGCATCTGTAATGGGCTGGTGACTCCCAAGAGGGACAGCAAGAGTTGGAGTTATTTGAGCAGTTGCTAAAGGGCCCTCAGTAGAAACCTGAGGCCCATGAGGAGGAATAGCACCCCGACTGCCATCCCATCAGGTAGATGCCAGGTCTCTGAGGCTGGACTCTCCTGTCTGCTGGCCCCAGCGCTTCCTCACCCCGACTGCCATCCCATCAGGTAGATGCCAGGTCTCTGAGGCTGGACTCTCCTGTCTGCTGGCCCCAGCGCTTCCTCACCCCAACAGCCATCCCATCAGGTAGATGCCAGGTCTCTGAGGCTGGACTCTCCTGTCTGCTGGCCCCAGCGCTTCCTCACCCTGACTGCCATCCCATCAGGTAGATGCCAGGTCTCTGAGGCTGGGCTCTGCTGTCTGCTGCCCCCAGTGCTTCCTCACCCCGACTGCCATCCCATCAGGTAGATGCCAGGTCTCTGAGGCTGGACTCTCCTGTCTGCTGGCCCCAGCGCTTCCTCACCCCAACAGCCATCCCATCAGGTAGATGCCAGGTCTCTGAGGCTGGGCTCTGCTGTCTGCTGGCCCCAGCGCTTCCTCACCCTGACTGCCATCCCATCAGGTAGATGCCAGGTCTCTGAGGCTGGGCTCTGCTGTCTGCTGCCCCCAGTGCTTCCTCACCCCGACTGCCATCCCATCAGGTAGATGCCAGGTCTCTGAGGCTGGACTCTCCTGTCTGCTGGCCCCAGCGCTTCCTCACCCCAACAGCCATCCCATCAGGTAGATGCCAGGTCTCTGAGGCTGGGCTCTGCTGTCTGCTGGCCCCAGCGCTTCCTCACCCTGACTGCCATCCCATCAGGTAGATGCCAGGTCTCTGAGGCTGGGCTCTGCTGTCTGCTGCCCCCAGTGCTTCCTCACCCCGACTGCCATCCCATCAGGTAGATGCCAGGTCTCTGAGGCTGGGCTCTGCTGTCTGCTGCCCCCAGTGCTTCCTGCTGCCGCTTCTGCCAGCTCAGGGGAGCAAGGGACCACCAACCTCTGGATCCTGCTGTCTCAGCATCATCTTCTCAGACCACAGTTCTGTCTAAACCAGTGGAGAACCCAAGCCCAAGGCCTTGGGACTGTGTGCTATGGAATTTCAGGCCCCATTAAAGCCTTTTTAAGTGTGTAGTCTCATGAATTCTGTCACCATCCTTTGGTCCCAATGTAGATCTAGTGTTTTTCTAATTCCCCATTTTCACTAAGGCCACCACTCTTCTGACTTCTGGAACTATATTTAGTTTTTCACCTGTCCTGGAAGTTTGTGCAGATGGAATTAGAGACAATACACTCTCTTTGGTCCGTTGTTCACACAACTTGGTGTTAGTGAAACTCACCCACAGAGTTATATTTAATTGCTGAGCAGTGCTGGATGAACACAGTTTACCCAGTCTCTCACTGATGGCCACCTAGCTGTCTCTGGTGTAAAGGCTATCATGAAAACTGCTGCCGTCAATATTTCTGTATGTGGCTTTTTGTGAGCATGGATTTCTTTTTTTCCCTGGATGAAGTCCCTATGGGTGTTCATTCGGCATCAGCCATCCAGGCTGTAGATGGATAGATGCTTCCACTGTCGCTGTTCCAAGTGATATGTCAGAGAGCCACTTGTCCCTCGGCCTGTTGGGAGGGTCTACAGGAGGAGTCCCTCACTTCAGAGTGGAAGTGGCACTAAGATGACCTTGCACTAGATGTTGAACTTGAAACCTCCCAGGGCAGGTATGGAAACCACAGTACAGCTGCACCTGTGGTTCAGCCCGGAAACTTCTAGAAGGTGACCACAGAGTACGAAAGCACGTCATAAAAAGAGACCACAAACCATGAAGGCACGTCAGGCTGCTTGGCTGCATGCAGGCTCTTGTCGGGCATTAGCTAATGTCCAGCCAGAAGGCGGGAGGGTCCTGTCAGGACCACGCTTCCTGTGCCCTGCACTGCCTGCTGCATAACTGAGGAGAGTGGTTCTTTATCACTGGAGCCTGGCAGCCTGTACTGGCAGTGGTGGACAGTGGTTCTTTATCACTGGAGCCTGGCAGCCTGTACTGGCAGTGGTGGACAGTGGTTCTTTATCACTAGAGCCTGGCATCCTGTACTGGCAGTGGTGGACAGTGGTTCTTTATCACTAGAGCCTGGCAGCCTGTACTGGCAGTGGTCTCACTATTACCTGGTTTCCTCCCTCCTTTGTGGGTGTGAAAAGCAATTAAGGAGAGAATATGAGAAAGAACTGAGCTAAGGGCAACAAAATTAACCCTGACGAATGGATTGGCGAGTTCTTTTCTTCCCTTATTCTGCTCTGACATAAAAAACGGACAGATGATGATGTCTATAGATACTCACATCTCAACAGAATACCTGGTAGATGGGTCTCTGGTGAAACTCTTCTCATTCCATGTACTTACTAGCAGCATCCTAGTCCTTTGGCAAACCCACAGCATCCTTGTGTCTCCCTTAAGCTGTAGAAATGTATGTTAGGATTCTGATTTCCAATCCACTATGAAATGCTAAGCAGTGGGAAATGGAGGACTCGGTATAAAGATTCATTTGGCCCGCCCTGCTTGGTGCTTGGTGGCTGGACTCTGCCCCCACCTCCATAGATGGAATTATTCTTGTTGCTTATTTTTGTTAAGAATTATACTGGTGGCTTAGGTGCCCACCTGGTTGCAGAAGGGGCTGCCCAGATCACTGCCTACAACTGCTCCTTCCTTTTAAGGCACGGTGGGGAAACTGAGGCAGCCTCACTTCCTTGGAATGTTCCCACTAGGATAAGGGTGAATTTTGGCCCCAAGAGACAGTAGCAGGGTGGGCAGCATGCCTGACTCTGTTGGGAGCTGCTTGGGAGGATGCCCAGACTCCAAGCCCTCGAGGAAGGAGGCCAGAGCTCCACCAGACCTTCTGCCACCTGTTAGCTTCTAACATCCCACCCTTCCAGAATCCTTACTGAGGCATATGGCTCCCCCTGCCACTGCACTCCAGGGGTCTCTCTTCATACTATTATAGCTGGTGTGGCTGAGTGGAGTCCAAGTTCACCTCTTGGACATCCACCTTCATGAGTCAAGGCGGAGTAACTATAGAAAGCAGTGTACCCCAGTGTCAGCTTGTAGGCCTTTCATCTTTTTCTGGGCCCCCTCTCCCCCCCCTTTCTCCCTGCTCCTGCCTCTGGTGAGGGCCACGCTCCTTTGTGAATCACAAAGCTGTCTTTGGGATGGGGTTCCTCCCCTCAGCTGCCCCTCCTCTTTTCCTTTACACAGCTGAGTGCACACTACTTCCTGCGGCCAGAAAGCTGCACACAAGTGCATCCAGGGACCTCACTTTGATTGGGCCTCTTGTGGCCTGGAGTTAGGTGATGTGCTGTGCTTCCAGGCCAGGAAGGAGCTATGCCCTGTTTGGTTAGCCCTTTGATTTATAGTAACATGCCTGGCAAAATCCAGCATTGTAAGTTTTTGTAACTGGTGTGTAGACCTGTAGTAAGCCTAAAGTATCAGCTCTGTGTCTCATTTCTTCTTCCCCACACCAGAAAGGGTGGCTAGCAGGGACTGGGAATCCTGCTGCCGAGTCTCCCACTACTGCCTCTCTGGCTCATTGTCAGCACTGCAAGAACAGTGGTCTCTGGGGTTTCTGGGAGGGCCAGCCGTAAGGTCTTTGTACAGCTCCCTCAAGAGAGCTTGCCATGCTCTTTCCTCCACGGAGACCTATAGCTCAGAAGACAGTGGTGGCTAGGGTAGAGGGTAGCTACATCCTACAAGGTTTGGAGTCAGACCACCCACTCAGCCTAATTCACTCCAGGCAGGTGAACACAGGGACAGCCCTCCCGATCAGATGTCCTGTGGCCATCAGCACAAAGCAGGTATCGTGTAGAGATGCCAGAGGAGGGAACTGTGGGCTAAGTACTTCAACAGTGTGCTCCAGGCTACCTGGATGCCATGTGGCAGAGCTGGGTGCAGAAGCAGAGCTCTGGCTGAGTCTCCCTGAGAAGCGGGAACCATGGAGAGCTGCCACAGCAAGCAGGGAAAGAAGGTGCCTGTGAAGCCCCCCGCAGACCGAGGTTAAGGCTGAACTCTTGGGAGGCTGAGATGACCCTGGGACAGGGGCTGAACCCTCAGCCTCAGGGAACAGGTGTGGTCAGGGGCTAGCAAGGTTACACAGCAGCACCGTGAGGTCCAGCCCATGACTGTGGCCAGGACTTTATCCCCTAAGAGATGCTGTGACTTCCTGTGACCTTAGATGTGAACGAGGGAAAGTGAGGTGGGTGGAGAGGAATGTGGGCCCTGGTCTGACATGATTGTATCGCAGGAAGGGACAGAAAGGATGGGGTGTTGTAGTGAGTCTTGGATATCAGAAGCTGGGGGGGGGGGGGTGGCAAGGAACATTCTGATGCTCCGTGAGTACAGCCTGCCAGCCTGCCCAGATTGTAGACTTTCAGCTAGGTCTCCAACCTGCAGTTGTCAAAGCTACCCAGATGGTGGGAGCTTGTTACAGCAGGCAAGGAAACCCAAGTGGCCACTTCCTGTTCTCAGGCAGTCTCGCAGAGCACAGCTCACCACTGCTAATCTTCCCCTCGTATCTAGAGGCATTTCACTGCCCCCTACACACCCCAAAATAGACTGAGGCAGACAGGCTAGAGTGGCTGTTACTGGGCCCTTGCCTCAGTAATGTGGGCTGTCGCAAGCCTCCCTCTAGGGTCTTGGGCCACTGGTTCCACCTGGCCATGCACCGATCTCATGCTTCGTGTGAGGAACACCTTTGTTTGGGCTTCCTCTGTCACTCTTCCTGGAGGACTACCAACTTCTTGGCAGTCAGATGCGGAAGCTTGAAGAGAGACAGCCTCCCTGAAGATCGAGTAAGGGGTTTCTCATCTTCACAGTGCCTGTTACTAGGCCTTGAGCACAGCTGATATTTGCAGAGGACCCTACACGTGCCTCAGAATGAATTATCTAACTTAGGAAAGACCTGATGTCAACAGCATGGCAGGGCAGCACTTGAGGCTAAAGCAAGAGGATTGGGAGTTTAAGGCAAGCCTGGGCTTCATGGTGATACTACGACAGGAGGAGCACAAATAAATGAGCAAGTCAAATGCCAGATTGGAGCTGAGCCTTATGTGCTGCGAACAGTTAAGAGGACATGGGACTACAGCTAGAAACAAGCACACAGTAGGTTGAGAGTGGTACAGATTCACTTGTGCCTGCCAGTGGCATCCCTGTGAACTTGAGAGCTTTGCCATCCTGGTAGTTGACGACCAAGGACTGGGCTGAGGGTCTCACATCTATACTCAGTTGCCCAGCCTGTACTCACTCACTACCAGCAAAGGACACCTGAGCTCTTTACCCCAACAGCAAGTATGAAGCCACCTGTAAACTGCACATGTGTGTCTGTTACAGACTACTCAGCATCCACTCCAGGTGGGGCTACATGGTTTTGTTGGGAAGTGCTTGCCTTGTAAGCCTGAAGACCTGAGCTTGGGTCTCAGGGCCCATGTGAAAAAGACTGGGCCTGACAGCACACTTGTAATTCCATCTTTGGGGAGGCGGAGCAACAGAAAGGATTCCCCAAAGCTTCCTGCTGACTAGCCCTGTCTAATCAGTGAACTCCGGGTCAGCGGAGGGCCCTGTCACAGAATCCCTAAAGATGCTACTTGAGGTTGTCCTCTGGTTGTTGTCCACTCCCAACTTCCGCAGTTGGGAACCCGCTAGTACTACTGCCGACTGCAGGCCGTGCTGCCCTTGCTGGGTCTCCACCTACAAGAGAGACATCTACAGCCAGTGAACAAGAACTGCCCAGCCACTCTTGGTAGCAGAAATAACAGGAGTGCCACCTCTTCTCCAGTCAGAAATGTATTTGTCATCCCAGCTGCAAGAGTCAGGAAACGTAACTGCTAGCTCTTGGTCTTTGTGACGGAGCAAAGCCTCCCAGAATGAGGCAGAATGTTTAGTCGTAGGGAAAGCAGCCTGTGCGCTAGGGAACTTAGCTGGGTGAGTCCAAGATGCAGCGTCACAGAACAGAATGGAAAGGATTGTTGGGTGGCAGGGATAATCTGATACGCAAGTCTCTAGACTTCAGACATAGAAGCCAACTAAAAAGTAAGTCATGGTAGACATATCTTGGCTCCTAGACCAGAGATTGGGTGACTTTGACTTGCTAAGGTGATCACTTCTCTGGCCTTGTCTGTATTCACACCTCTTTGTGACGGCCCCATGAGAAGGCTGCTACTGTCAGCTATCCATCGTCTGATTAGGGAAGAACAGCCTGAAAGACAGTGTGTAAGGGGAGCTGGAAGGACCAAAATGGAAGGCCAGGATCTCACTGCTGGTCCTGCCTGCAGCTTGCCGAGGTTGGGACACGCTTCCGCACATCACTGGGCCTCAGTTTCCTCACATGCAAGTTGAGATGGGGTGCATTCAGAGAAGCATTAGGTGAGCTTTCATATTCCCACATCCAGCCAGCTGTAGAGCTTCCTGCAGGGAAGGACCTGGGCCTCCTCAAATGTCTGGACAGACCTGTTGGAAAATGCAAAGGCCCATTTGAATCGGATGTCTTTTTGATGTTACTCACCTGATTTCTCGTCTCCCCAAATGTGAGCTGGATTAGCAGAATCAAGTTAATATAGCTAACAGTGTTTGTGCTCCAGGGAAGGAAAATGCCATTGAGATCACTTTTCATTGGGCATATGCGGCTTCTAGTTGCCACCAAATACAGTTCATGTGCCTATTCTAAGTCTTGTCAAGCTAAGGTGTAGCTCAGTGGTATAGCACTTGCCAGAGCATACCCAAAGCCCTGGGTTCAATTCTCAGCACCGCCAAAATCTAAAATCTCATTAAGCATCACATCAAACCAAGTATTCAGAAAAATCCACAACTTGAGTCAGGGTCACTGAGAAATGTTGGGTGGATCCTTCCGCTAGTGGGTCATCCCTGGGGCTGGGTGGCCTCCACCTCACATCCTGTGGAAAACAGTGACCTGCTGGGTTGACTTCTGTTGTCAGCCTAGAGTGCTGGCCCTTGGCAAATGCACTTTGGGGATGAGCCGAAACTAACTGGCGTGACCCAGCAAAATATAAAATCAGGGTTAAATATGCAGAGCACTGAGCAAGGGAGCCCAGGACATTCCCAAGGTTCAAAAGGAACTTGTCGTAGACAGAAAGTGAACAGGTTGATGGTTGGATGGAATACCGGATACAGTTGTGGTAATGGTTGCATAACAAGGTGAAAGTCTTAATGCCACTATTGCTGCCTTAAATGGTGAATTTTATGCATGTTTTGTCACGTCTTGCAAAAGAAAAGGTTTAAACAGCGGCTGTAATGTGCAGTTTAAACAGCAGCTGGAATGTGTTGAGCATCTGTAATGTGCAGGGACTTGTACAGTGCATCTCTCCTGGTTCTGTACAGGGCAGGTGGGATGTGAGGTGCTGGGTAAATGAGTCTCCCAAAGTCAAGCCAGGGAGGGGCTGAGGGTGGAGCCTTTGAATCCTAACCCATATGGACAACAGGTTGAGACACAGTCACGTGCCTGATGGTCTGTCTACTGGCTGCTTCGGGCCTTGTACGTTGTTCATACATCTGACCCGTGGTTACAGTGATGTTTCTTGTCTCCTCTATTACAGACCACGGTGATTGACTACGTGAAGCCCTCAGATCTCAAGAAGGACATGAACGAAACCTTTAAGGAAAAGTTCCCTCACATTAAGTTAACACTCAGCAAAATCAGGAGGTATGGGAGCTATGGATCACGCTGGACTTTCCAGCCAGGCCCCCTCCAGCCCGCTCCAAGCTCACGCTGTATTGTAGTTCTCCTTGTTCCTCAGGAACAGAAATACAGTCACGTTCAGTAGACACTCTTCCGCTACTGACTGACTCATGCCTGGATGTCATGGGAGAGCCCAGGGCATCAGGCGTCAGGCCAGACTCCTGACCCGCTAGTTGGCACAGCTCTTGGGGAGTTATTCAGTGAGAAAAACCATTTCATGCTGTCTGCCTGCAGCTTGCCAGCTCAGTGAAACTGAGGCTATAAAAAGTGAGAGGATGGAGCTGGAGGTGGGTCTCTGATGGCAGAGTGCTGGGCTTCCATGCACAGACATGGGTCCACGCTCCCTGAGGACACAACCCAGGCGTGGTTATACAGTCCTGTAATACCAGCACTTGGGAGACAGAGCAGAAATCTGAAAACACGAGTTGTGTCTAAAAACAATTGAAGGTCTCAGCTTTCTGGGATGCAGGCAAAACAGAAGTACCCAGAATTGGCACCTGAAGGCATGAGATAACTCCATCTACCTAGACATGACTTCAAGGCCCTATCTTTGAACAGCCACCAAAATAGCCAAAACAGAGACACAGGCCGGATTTCCCATGCAGATGATTGGATGGGTTTGCGGTGCTCCACATCTGCCAGCTGTTCACCCTGTCAAGCTAGAGAGGTGCTGACTCGCTTTGTGGCGTCCACAGGCGTGTGCTCACAGGCGTGTGCTCACCACCTCTGAGATGCTGGAGCATGTGCAGGGTGTACCCTAGAGTGTCCTAACACAGACTTGGTTATGGCATTTTCCAAGCCAAAGAATAATAAGAATTAGGTATCCATGCTTTGTGCATTTGCTAGGCCACTTTCCCAAGGACCCTAGTGGTTCTGCCTTTAGTCCAACACTTCTTCTACCTGACTTATAGTCTAATCAATACTTGGCAGAACTTAGACCAAGCACCTGCTATAGCTCTAAAATAAGCATGGGTCCCTTTCTTCACTTTGAAGAACCCCACCATTTTCCTGGGAACTCAGATATACACAATGTTCTGTGGTATCTGTCTCCTGCTCTTTGGAGCCCTGCCTGCCCGTAATCCTTGGACGTGGTGATCTGGGCCATGCTGTGTCTGTGTTAGTAGACCCACAGAGGGGCCAGAGCCCTAGCTACGCAGTCTGCTCCCACATCAGTGTGGATTAATCTCAGCCTACATCCCCCTGCGGGACGGAAATAGAGAAAATGCCTTCCAGATGGTGTCATCGTCGTCTTGAGGGTCCCCAGAGCTCTCTCAGGAATCCTTGCTTCCTGTCTTTCTCCAGTCTGAAGAGAGAGATGCGGAAGCTTGCCCAGGAGGATTGTGGCTTTGAGGAGCCCACGGTGGCCATGGCCTTTGTCTACTTTGAGAAGCTTGCCCTCAAGGGGAAGCTGAACAAGCAGAACCGGAAGCTCTGTGCTGGAGCGTGTGTGCTGCTGGCAGCCAAGGTCGGAAGTGACCTCAAAAAACATGAAGTCAAGCATCTAATTGATGTAAGTGAGCTGGGTCTTGATGGGGGGCCGAGGATGCACTCAGTCCAGGGGTCCAGGCAGATGGACTTTAACGGCTAAAGGGATGAGGACTGTAGAATGATTTGAAGGGAAATAGATGATTGACCTGGACAAGATTTAAAAAGCCATCATTAGAGTCATGACCTAAAAACCCTGCTCAGAGAAAGCTTGAATGATGAAGTTTGTGTCTTAGGGTTTCTATAGCTGTGAGGAGATACCATGAAGTGGCAAGCCTTATAAAGCAAAATAAAGCAAAATGGGGCGCTTAAAGTTTCAAAGGTTTAGTCCACTATCATCATGGTAGTAGGACACGATGGTGTGCATGGTGCTGGAGAAGGAGCTGAGAGTCCTATATCTTGATCTGCAGGCAGTAGGAAGTGAACTGTGGCATGGATGTGGCTTGTGCGTAGAAGACCTCAGAGCCTACCTCCACCCCAGTGACACACTCCCTCCAATAAGGTCATGCATCCTAATAGTGCCGCTCCCTTTGGGGGCCATTTCCTTCATACCACCACATATGGTATCCACAAGAGTCTTGTGAGCAGCGTAACTGTAAAACACCCACCAGAAATTATGGGTTCAATGTAATGGTGTGGCCTTACTTCTAAAGGACAGCCCCACCAAACAAGGACACCCTGACTGCCCAGGGTGGGTTTATGAACACCTGTTTTAACCAAGAGTGTAGGCAGGCTTTGTGAAAGAGGCCCAAGCCCCTTGTGAGGCTAAGACAGGAGGACTGAAGTTCAAAGCCAGCCAGGGCAACCTAGTGAGACCCTGTCTCAAGTAATAAAAAAAGTGGGGAGGGCCAGGCGGTGGTGGCACACGCCTTTAATCCCAGCACTCGGGAGGCAGAAGCAGGCGGATCTCTGTGAGTTCGAGGCCAGCCTAGTCTACAAGAGCTAGTTCCAGAACAGGCTCCAAAAGCCACAGAGAAACCCTGTCTTGAAAATCAAAACAAAACAACAACAACAACAAAAGTGGGGAGGGATGTAGTGCAGTGTCGAATGTGTGCCTAGCACGTGTGAGGCCCAAGTTCCCATTCCTAATACACAAATGTATATTATATGTTGTGTGTGTACTGTAGTGTATAGATAAACAAAGAAAAGCCGATCAAGAGCCAACTGCCACTGAGAAAATACGCTATCACTCACAGTTCCCAAGAGGAAGGACCTTCCTGTGGGCTGCTAAAGCACAGCCATGGAATGGCTGGATTAAACAACAGAAACTGACATCATATCACTGTGAAAGCCGGATATGCGTTTTTTTCTGAATCTGGTCTCCTTTGAGGTCACCAAGTTCATAAAGACCACCCAACTCCTCTGAGCCTAACTATCTTCAGAGGCCTTATCTCCTGACTGCTCTTCACTGGGGCCAAGGCCATCACTGTTCATTTGTGAGGACCACACCCTCAGTGTGGGGGCAGAAGGAAAGAGAAGAACTGTGGACAAGAGTCTTCATTATTGTTCCCAGAAAGGGGCTCTCACCAGGCAGGTGTGTGGGCCTAGGAGTGGCCAGTTTGGAGAATGCCTGTCTGTGCTGGACTGCCTGCAGGTGGGCAGCAGCAGCCTCGGCGTGAAGGAAGGATTTGGACCTCTTGCGTTTTAAAAGCGTTCTCACAGGAGTGTCCACTGCTGACTGGAGCATTTGAGGAGTGGGTGTTATAAGTGCTCAAAGCCTGGCATGCACAATTAAGTGCCCTGTAAATGTTAGCAATTCTTCATCCAACAAAAAGTGATCATCCAGCTTACTGCTCAAGTCCCGAGGCTCTGCTTTCTGGAAACCCTGCAGACCTGGTTCCTGGATGGTCCCAAAGAAAGGGCTTCAAGGCAGACTCATTGCAAGGCTGAGATCTCAGAGCAGCTGGATTCACCAGGTTTATGGGCAGGAGTCACACTCTGATAAGCGATCCTAGCCCCAGGGCAGATCTGCCAGGAAGTCACTTCGGGCTCACCGGCTGTGACTAACTGTTGGGGGCAGCAGGAGGAGTGTGGTCAGGAAAGGCAGGGACAGCCATGAGGATAAGCTGTCACAGGCACAGAGCAGACAGTTGGTACGATGTCCTATGTATCTGAGTACCCACTGTCTCTACTGAAGAGAGTAAGGTAGGTACTTGCTATATATATTTTTTAAGAAAGAATATTATTTAGGGCATGGTTTACTAATTTTCAGAAATAATACAGGGTCCAGTGTGTGCAGTAGATACATGAACATGGAAATGACCATTGCGTGCCAAATCCAAGCTGAGCATCAATAGGCTTATACAGTTATCCATTGGCTTTTCCTGGTTTCAGTTACCCAAGTCAACCACAGCCCCAAATACTGCATATGAAAGTCCTAAAATGCCATTTGTACATTTTAGCTTGTGCACCAGGCTCAGAGTGTGGTGAACGTTCTCCCTGTCCACCTCAGGCGCGAAACGCCATGTGTCTTGTAGCCACCTTGTTTGCTAGACTGACTGCCCAAGCATCCTAGTATGCATGTCTGACCTACTCCTATGACAGCCTGGGTCACAATGCCTTCCTCTCATCACGCAGGCACTGCATGGCTCAGCCCAGAATAAGCAACAGAGAAAACACATTTGTGGAACTTCACTACAATATGGTTACTGCTTCAGTTGCTGTTGAGCTTATAAATCAGGCACAATAAGTCAAGTTTTACTATAGATACACTATTTTATTACATATCTAGAGGATATGGTATTTTGTGTTCAGGATCTACTTGGGGGTCCCCAGATAAAGTGGGGAATTTATATACTATGCATATAACTAATGCATCTTTAGAAGTAACGCTCATACAGTTCTAAGCATATTCATATGTTTAATCAGAGTTCAGTACTATGCCACACGGCAGAAGCTGACGGTATCAACACAGACCAATAGTTCTGATCTGAAATTAGCACCCTCAAGTGAGGTCTCCTCTCAGTTTTACCTCAGTGCCTCAGCCACTGCTCTGTGAGAGTCTTCATTAGCCAAAAGCTGAGCTTAAACTGAGACCAAGTGCTCTAGCCAAAGAGGGAACTTTCTATCCCCCGTGTCTCTTCTGGTTCTAATCCTGGAAGCCTGCCTTGCCGAGTGAAGAGGTGAGGGGTCATTGCCACTCAGCTGACAGCCTCACAGGGACTTGGGTTCCCATGAGAGAGGAAAAGACTAAATCACATATCTCATGCCATGCCGAGACTGCCTGTGATGATTGCTAGCCGAGGTCTCTAACCGCTAAGCCTGACTCAGTTATGGCAGGTACAACGAGAATCCCAGCTAAGTGGCTCAGCGCAGCCGTTTCCCAGCCATGTGACTGCAGATGAGCGACGTCGGCCTCTTGAGTTTGACCACCTGTAAAGTGGGCACAAACGCAACATCAGTGGAGTAGTGAATGGAGTTGGCCTGAATCCCCAGACAGACGGCCCTCGGGGAAAGTTCGCTGTCTGCATGGACAGATGGACGATGGTCTGGGCATGTTTTCCTCACCCCTGAAACACACACTGGAATTTGATTTCCACTGCAGTGGTGTTGGAAGGGGACACCAAGGAGGACTTGTGCCATCTTTTAGGAGTTGATGTCTCCTGAAACTAGAGTAGCTACGAGAGCAGCGTGTGAGGAGTGCGGCTGTATGGCTGTGCCTCCGATTTCTGGAAGGCGCGTCTGTACGGCTGTTCATCCGATTTCTGGAGGGCGTGGCTGTACGGCTGTGCGTCCGATTTCTGGAGGGCGTGAACCCTGCCTGCCCGAGGTGGAGCAGCACAATACCTTTACCAGACGCATCTGCCCGACCTCCAGAACCTCTCTTCTTTTAAAATCCCCCCAGCACCCAAAGTTCTGTTACAGCAGTGGAGAGCAGATGAGTCCTTGATACTCCCTAGCTCGATGGTAGAAAATTGCACTTGGAAAAAAACAAACAAAAAAGCCTATGTTGTTAAATGCAAAACTAAAATGGCTCTGTTGACTTTACAGAAACTGGAAGAGAAGTTCCGGCTGAACAGGAGAGAACTGATTGCCTTTGAATTTCCGGTGTTGGTGGCCTTGGAGTTCGCACTTCATCTTCCAGAGCACGAAGTCATGCCCCACTATAGACGCCTGATCCAGAGCTCCTAGCACAGGCCCCAGGAGGGCCAAGGACGCTTCCTCTGAGTGCAGCAGCCTCGCTGCTACCAGAGAGGAGGGCGGGAGCCTGGTATACCACGCTGAGTCTCCTGGCAGCTGTATTTTTTACGGAGAAGCCGTACCTGGAACTGGCTAGGGAGATGTCGCTCAGGCTCACCAGGAGGAGCATGGGCTGGGGATGAGGTTCCCGGGTCCCCAGGCGGAACTCAGTTGTGTCCATTCCTCCCAGGCCCATGTGAAGTTCGAAGCTGCTCAGGGCCTTTTCTGCAGACTGGTTCTGACTGGGAGCGTGCTGTGCTAGAACAGAGGGAGCCGAATGTGCAGGGTTGGGAGAAGCTGCTTACAGTTCCCTCTCCCTGTGTCAAGAGCGTGCCAATCTATTTTTATATCTGCCATCGGAAGTGCACTTTCCCTGGGCACAAGGGTGTGGGTGTGCGAGTGTCTTAGGGGCACTGTGACACTTGACTCCCAAGCCAATCCCCACCTTCTATGGAGCTGACCTACAATGATTTCTAGGTAACAATGACTCAGATCCAGAGTGACTTCTCTGCTCTTAGGAAATAACACTGTTTAGAGACTGAACCTGCCACCCACCGGAGGGGCAGCAGTTCCCAGCCGGTGTAGCGTAAGTCGTGTAGAGTGGCGCTGGGAACTTCCTGCCGCCACACCACGGGCTTCTGTTTAATGCTCTAGCTCCTGCCTGTGGAGACACGAGGGCTGCACTCCATAGCGTGTATTCCTGTACTCTATGTTAGAGTGCGTAATGAGCGCGTTTATTGTGCTAAATACATATATGTGTGTATGTTTTAAAAGTCTGTATTGGGGGTAAGACGCATGATTGGAGTCTTGTGGCTTTTGCAGCTGGGACAAACTACCTTTCAAGCTGTGGTTAAGTTGATTGTTGTTACAAAATTGTGACTTGTCCTGATTCATTCTGGGGCTGCCTGTCCTAAAGTACTGACCATGCTATCACCTGGTAGTTATCTGAAGAAAGCTATGGCCTTGGAAAAAAAGAATTAAAATATTTTGTTCTTTTGCATATACATAAATGTGTGTGTAAAGATCAAGTCTCAGCCACTTGTTGTAGTCAGGGTTTCTATCGCTGTGACGAAACATCAAGACCAAAAAGCAAGCTGGGGAGGAAAGGGTTTATTTGGCTTACACTTGAGCATTGCTGTTCATCACTGAAGGAAGTCAGGGCAGGAACTCAAACAGGGCAGCATCCCAGAGGCAGGAGCTGGGTCATGGAAGGGAGCTGTGTACTGACTTGTTCCACGTGGCTTGCTCAACCCACCTTCATGTAGAACACAGCCCAGGAGGCACCATACACAATGAGCTGGGCCCTCCCCATTGATCACTAAATGAGAAAATGCCTTACAGCTGGATGTCATGGAGCTGTTTCCTCAGCTGAGGCTCCTTCCTCTGATGACTCTAGCTTGTGTCAAGTTCACACACACACACACACACACACACACCACCCAGTTCACACCTCCACAGCCAATTTCCTTGCATTCATGCCACCTCAGAACTTGTCAGTCCTGGTGAGGTCACAGGCTGAGACCCCTCTGATTACCTGGAGAAAGAAGGGTGGAGGAAGCAAGCGTTTACAGCGCTCACTCTGTAGCCCAAACTGGCCTCAGACTTGGAATCCTTCTGCCTCAGCCTCCCCAGTGTGCTGTAGGCATGCCCTAACATATCTATGGAACTGAAGCTTGTTATTAGACATTCCAGTCTCAGCCTCCCAGGAGCCGGACAACAGGCGCACACTAGCACTCCTGGCCCATACGAGGTGGAGAAGCTGCAGCTGCCGTGAGAACATGAAGCCTCTTAGGCTTAATTAGCTGAATTCAGTCCTAAATATTTTGCTATCAAGTTTCCTCCTCCAAGTATCAGTTGGGTGGGATATGATGGCACATGGTCTTTTTGGTTGCTCAAAAGTTCAACTAATATTTCAGGAACACACTGCTTACAACGCAAACTGGGAGGCACAAAGCCTCCAAACTCTGCGTTTCCTGACCTTCAGGATGTTCGTGGCCATCCTTTGCTGGTAGTGTCTGTCACCAAGCACCCAGGTGTGCTTTCGGACTCCCAGCCCCTCATTCAGAACCTGCCGGAGAGAGAACTACCCCGGTAGACAAGGCTCCTGGAGGAAGAGATGCCAGTTCCCAGGTGCCAAGCTGGGATTTAGGGAACCAAGTCCTGCCCTGTATCTTGAAACCAGATTTATGTTCTTGGATTTGGAATGATTCGTGTTTGAGCAACTGTAGGTGGTTTCAAGACGTCACTAGTCTTTTCCCTTTCAGTTTAAGCTCTGTGAGTGTGGAGGCGGGAGTCTCGTTTTAACTTGGCGGAGGGGGTGCCTTCACTCCCAGCTGGTGGTCACAACTCCAGCTTTCCAGGGGCCACAGAAGATGAGAAGAGTCGGGAACACACACCACTCAGACTCAGGAAACCTGAGCCTGCGCTGTGAGAAAGACAGGAAGGCCAGTTCTAGAAGCTTCTGTGGCTTTGCCCTTTGCCTTTATCACAGGGAGAATCCTCTGAGGACTGACCTGAAGCTTTCCTAGGGCAGTCTCTAAGAAAACTCTGCTCAGTTACCTGCTCCTTGAGACAACAGGGCTGACCCCAGTCTGGTCTGCAAGGCACGGTCACCTCTGCTCCAGTCAGCCCTGGATGCAAGGGCACAAATGAGAATCAAACCCTAAAGTGGTACCCATGAGAACGGGGTCAGTTCCCATGCCTCCCTGGACCTGTCCCAGAAGCCCCCGCCAGCCACTTCCCCTCTGCTGTATCAAATGCAAATAGGGTTTGTTTTCCTCAGCCATTTCTTTCTGGTCAGAAATTCCCCAACCAGTTTGTCTGTTATCATTAGCCAGCAGGCTCCACTTGGAGTGGTCACTTCCCACAAATCACTCCGGGTCACGTGTCCCATCTTAGTGACTAGGGAGCAGGACCAGACTGAGGTTCCTTCCCCTCCTTGTTATTCCTTCCTGTTCCCATCATCCCTGCAACAGCAAATCAAACAGCTCCAATTCCTTATCTGTGGCTCTCTGACATTTCCTGTTCAGTGTTCAACTGCCAAGGCCTTTGCCCTCCAGGCCTGGTGGCCTCCGGTAACTCAGAAGAAGCCAGGCTGCCTGCTGCTCCTTTGCAAGAATCAAACAGGAAGAGATGAGGAGTGAGCTCAGGTGTTGTGCCCCTAGGGAAGCAGGGGGCTTGCAGAGGACACCCATGGGCAGGGCAGCCTGCAGTCATTACCCTGGGACTGATAAAGACAATGCTACCAGGTGAGGGTTCCTGCGGACAGGAGGAGAAAGCAAACACCAGTTTAGATAGGGATTCCCATAATTCAGACAAATGCTAGCTCAAACAAAAGGCGGCTTCCAGAAGTGCAATAGAAGGCAGAGCTGATTAGAGCTGCAAAGGATGAGCTGTCTGAGTTAAATGTTGCCTGGGGTGGGTAGTTCAATAGAACACTGAGCTGTTACTGGGGATTAGAAGGTATGTCAGTAACATCATGGACAGGCAGAGAGACAGACAGACAGGGGTATGGCATGCCTGTTAGTGGCAGAGTCGCTCATGAGAATCAGAGCTCCCTGTGGATGAGACTTCCTCCTTGGTGACAGACAGGGAAGCTGGAACTACCTGAACAGCTGTCCTCCGGAAGCCCTTGGGTGGCGCCTGCCAGCCGAGTTGCCTGTGGCTTCTCTTTCTCTGTTCCCGTGCAGAGAGTTGAGAGCCGGCCGGCCCTTGGCTTACTAATGCCAAGGCCCTCCACTTCCCCTCTGCCCATCCAAGGAATCAGAGACAGCTTGAATACATGAAACCTCTCCCTGTCTGACACTTGGAAGAAGAGGTTCCCCATTCTGCCCTTTGTTCCCGAACACTCATCAGAGCTCCCAGCATGCTGTCTGTCTGTCTGTAAGTCTGTATGCCCATGGCATCAGTAACTTTTCTAAAAAAAAAAAAACTCTTACCCAAGAGGACAATCTGCCTCAGTGTTCCCCTTGAGCCCAAAACCTGAAACCTTTTGATAGAGGTTTGCTGAAAGCCGGGTTTGAACCAGGGATCTTCACGTCTGTTAACACCATGTACAAGACAGTCAGCCCGACACTGTGACTGAAGCACCACCCTCATGGGATCTCTAAGTCAGAGCCAGGTGGAGAATGCTGCCAGTCTGCCCTTGCTCACCCTGGAGAGCCTGGGATGGACTGGGAAGAGACATGACCCAATAAGACCCAGCTCTGCCCACTAAGGAGAGATGGTGGCCTGGCTGTTAGTTCAGGATTGATGGGGGCCAACTTGGAAATAAAAGAAACAGCTTGACATCAGCAAAGACAGAATTGTCCCTTTATAGAACACCTGAAGGGCCACAGTCTTTCTGCAGAGTAGAGACTATGCCCACATGGTATGTGTGTAGGGTAGGGGTTGGGAGTTTTATAGGGTGGAAAGAGGACTTTGGGGATGGAAGATTCCACCTGCAGGCCAGTGACCTTGCAGTCTCAAGGTGGAAGACATCACTCAGAGATGTGTGAGCTTCCCACCAGGCACTGGCAGTCACAGGTGCCACCAGGGAAGCCAACTTTCCTGTCCAGAAAGTCTCCGTCATTAACCCCTCAGGGGTCGCCCCAGTCTTCCACTCTGCTGCCTGGTATACCTGGTCTCAGGACACTAAGTTTCATCCCTACCTAAGCTGTAGATGAACTTCAGACTGGGTATTATTACATGCAGCCGGGTCAAGGGACCTCTTAGGTTCAGGTTCAAATCCCAGTTAAGCTCTTCTGGATGGGCACCCTAGCAACTCTCTCGGTCTGGGTCGCCTGGCAGTTCCACTCTACCCCAGAACTTCCCTGTCACACCCCAGGGCATGCCTCTGTCTACAGGACCAACATCACCCTGCTTCACTGGCTTCTTCCAGCTGTTTTGTCACTCGCTCCCCAGGCTGCTTGTCCCCTATGCTGGCAACCCACAGCCTGCTTCCCACCTAATCCCTCTTCCTCTCTACCTTACTCCATTTCATTTCTTTGCACCTGCTTTAAGCCTGGGATTTCTTGTCCCATCTCTTGTCCTTCCTCAGTCTCTTTCTGGTCCTTGGCTTCTACCAGGCGTGGGAGTGCATTGAGGGTGATGTGTTCCCCACTGTCATGTCCTTCCCCTGTCCTGTGGACCTTCACACACAGTCCCACATCATACTCATCGTACCCACTGAATGCAAACTGACAGGCTGGACACTCTGAGCACACAGACACCTGTGGTCTCAACTGCACAGAGAGTCCTTTGGCCACTCACTTGGGAAGTCCCTACAAGGCCTTATTGTCTTTGGTGGTTAGGTGATTTCCATTGCCCTCTGAACACGTAAACATTTGGGTTTAACACACTTTCTCTGAATGGTCCCTAGAGTTCTCATGCTGCCACAGCATGGCCTCAGTGAGACACCTGGGAAGATGTGCAAACCCAGCCTTGCCTCAGTGAGACACCCAGGAAGGTGTGCAAACCCAGCCTGGCCTCAGTGAGACACCCAGGAAGATGTGCAAACCCAGCCTGGCCTCAGTGAGATACCCAGGAAGGTGTGCAAACCCAGCCTGGCCTCAGTGAGACACCCAGGAAGATGTGCAAACCCAGCCTGGCCTCAGTGAGACACCTGTGTGAACCCAGCTGTTCCAGGATGCTTAGACTCTGCTCTCAGTTTTCCACAGAGACTGAATATGATTCTTCAGAAAGCCTTTAAAAGCATGGGATAAATCCGGACTAGCGGTACATAGCGGACAATGAGGAATACTGAGAATTCAAGAACAATTGCAGTGGGTTTTTGATCCTACTGCACGTACTGGCTTTGTAGGAGCCTAGGCAGTTTGGATGCTCACCTTACGAGACCTGGATAGAGGTGGGCAGTCCTTGGGCTTCCCACAGGTCAGAGAACCCTGATTGCTCTTCGAGCAGATGAGGAAGGGGGACTTGATCGGGGGAGGGGGAGGGAAATGGGAAGCGGTTGCGGGGACGAAGCAGAAATCCTTAATAAATAATTAAATTTAAATAAAATAAAATAAAAACAAACA